AACACTTACTGCATAGGAAATATCTGGCCGAGTCATGCAAAGATATAACAACTTCCCAAGCAATCTCTGAAACACCCCCTTATCAGATAAAAGCTCACCATCTGTAGCAGAAAGATTATGATTAGGATCAATAGGAGTGGAGAGTGGTTTAGCTTCGAGTTTACCAGTCTCAGCAAGGAGGTCAAGGACATATTTACGCTGAGAAATGAAGATACCATCCTTAGATCTAACAACTTCAATGCCCAAAAAATACCTAAGATCTCCCAAATCTTTGATCTCAAATTCAGAGTTGAAAAATCTTTTTAGTTTACTGACCTCTTGAGTGTCATTACCCGTGACCACAATATCATCAACATAAATTATCAAGAAAGTCACCAGAGAGCCATATCTCTTCAAGAACAGAGTATGATCAGATTGAGTTTGTGTATAGCCAAAGGAGACAAGAGCAGCCCTAAACCTCTCAAACCAAGCCCGAGGAGACTCTTTGAGACAATAAATAAATTTATGCAGTTTACACACCTTGCCTTGCATTTCCTTCCCATACACCCCTAGAAGCAAAGACATATAGACCTCTTCATGTAGGTCTCCATTCAAGAAGGCATTTTTAACATCAAACTGGTGTAGGGGCCAGCCAAAAGTAGCGACTAGAGATAACAAAACCCAGACTGAGGTCATCTTAGCTACAGAAACAAATGTCTCAAGATAGTCAATACCATACATTTGAGTGTAGCCCTTAGCAACCAGCCTAGCCTTAAACCTCTCAATAGAGCCATCAGAGTGATATTTAATAGTAAACACCCATTTACAACCCACTGGTTCCTTCCCTTCAGGCAAGTCAACAATATCCCAGGTATGGTTCTTATGCAAAGCATCCAGTTCAGCCATCATAGCATCCCTCCATTCAGGTTGAGATAAGGCTTCCAGTACGGACCTGGGTATCACATGGGAAGAAACAGAAGCAAGAAAAGAGTAGTAGGAAGGAGAGAGAAGGTTGTAAGACAGGTGTTTGGAGATACAATGAGTTGTACACTTCCGCTTGCCTTTGCAGAGAGCAATAGGAAGGTCAAGGTCTGGGAAAGCTGTAGATGGGTCAGAAGAAGGCTGACCTGTACCTCAGTAATGATGGGAGGAGCAAGAAGCTCTTCTGTAGGAGTGGAAACAACCTGCCCATGTCTGAATCTCTACCTTTGGTACCACCTTTGAAGAACAGGAGGAGGAGGAATTATAAGAGAATGAGGTGGAGGAGGAGGAATAGGAATATCGGAGGTAGGTCTAGTGGGAGAAGTAGACACCTCATGATAGGACTCAAGAGGAATGGGAAGAGGAACAGCTGGAGACATAACAAAGGGCTTTTCAGATTTCTCCCCCTAAGGAGAAATGCTAAAGAAATGAGTCAACTCAGCAAAGGTGACATCCCGAGATACAAAGCAGGTGCCACTAACTGGATCAAAACAGCAATATCCCTTCTATGTGGAAGCATATCCCAGAAAAGCACATTTACGAGCCTTAGGTTCAAACTTGTGCCTTTGATGACTGTGAATATGCACATAGCAAGTGCACCCAAAAACACGAAGAGGAAGAGAAAAAATATCCTCATACGAGAAGAGAAGGCTAAAGGGGGTTTTGAAGTTAAGGACCCGGAGGGCATACGGTTGATCAAAAAAGTAGCAGTAAGAACAACATCTCCCCAAAATTTTATAAGAACATGGGATGCAAACAAGAGGGATCTGACAACTTCAACCACATGTTTGTTCTTCCTTTCCGCCACCCCGTTTTATTGTGGAGTGTAGGAACAAGAACTTTGATGAATGACCCCAAAAGTTTCAAGATAGGCGGAGAGGGTTCTCTCAAAATACTCCTTAGCATTATCAGAACGGAATATTTTGATACAAGTGTTAAAGTGGGTGAGGATGAGTTCATGAAATTTTTGCACAATAGTTGGTACTTCGCCCCTGGATTTCATGAGATAAATCCAAGTGTAACGAGAGTAGTCATCAATAAAAAGGATAAAGTACCTGTAACCCCCCATAGTTGGCAAATGATATGGCCCCCACACGTCAGAGTGAACAATATGAAAAGGAGAAAGAAATCTTTTATTGCTTATTGAATAAGAATATCTACAATGCTTTGCCAGTTCACACGACTTACAATGAAGACTCGATAAAGACACTCACTCCCTTAAACATATCTGGAAACAAATGACTCAAAGCAGAAAATGACAAATGACCAAACCGAAAGTGACATAACAAGACTTTGTTAACAGAATCTGACAAAACTGACTCTAAGGCAACTCTATGAAGTGGTCCCAAAGCTCGATCCGGTATATCCAACAAGTATATTCCGTTCGCCTCACGGCCACTCCCAATCATCCACTAAGATTGCAGGTCCTGAAAAACACAATGAGTGGGAAAAAAGGTTATGCTGCAATTCATGGATTTAGTTAAGCTGCTAACAGATAAAAGGTTTGTGTTAAGTTTAGGGACATGAAAGACAGAGGATAAATAAAGGGTGTCAGAGGTCTTTATATCTCCTTTACCAGATATGGGAGCAAGAGATCCATCAGCAAGGGATATTTTCTCTTTGCCAGAGAGAAGGTGGTACGAGCAGAAGAGATTAGACAGGCTGGTCATATGGTCTGATGCACCGGAATCAATAATCCAAGGAATTTTATGATTACCTAAAACTGAAGCATGATTTGCAGAAGCATGAATACCTGAGTGAGCAAATGCAGATGAAGATGATGTGTTGTTGGAAGAGTGAGATGAGGAAACAGTAGCTTCCAAGTGATTTAGTAGCCTCTCATACTTTTCAAAATCCGCCTTCATTGCTGCCAACTGCTCAATGGTTGATTTTTCTTCACTCTCCTTATTTCCTCCTTCAGGTATTGTAGCGACATTAGCTGTCTTAGGCTTTCCTACTTGATTGCCCTTCTTAGAGCTGTTGTTATTCTTAAACCTATCAGGATGAAGCTTCCAGCAAGTGTCCTTTATATGCCTCGGTTTCTTGCAATAATCACATATCTGCTCATTTTTCTCAGTAGGACCCTTAGGCTTTATTCTAGCATGTGCAAAGTGTTCTGTAGGTGGACCCTGCAACTGAACCCGCCACCTACTCTCCTCACTGCTTATCATAGCATATGCCTGGGAAAGAGTAACCTCATCTCTGGCCAGGATATTTTGCCTAATGATGTCAAACTCAGGGTTGAGTCTAGTGAGAAATTCAAACAC